GTTGCCCTTCTCTGGACACGCTCCAGCACCTCGATGTCCTTCTTGTAGTGAGGGGCCCAAAACTGAACACAGTACTCGAGGTGCGGCCTCACCAGTGCCCAGTACAGGGGCACTATCACCTCCCTGGTCCTGCTGGCCACACTATTCTTGATACAGTCAAAGAAAACAGGACATCTGCACTAACTTTCAGGTTCTTGTACACCAAAACATGGGCACTTTTGGCAGGGAAAATTTTGTTTGAAACTTAAAGGGAACCGCTTACAACAAATGGAGAAATTTAAGCATTACCAGGTAAACAGAATACCTCAGCTACTGAAGGATAAATATGCTTTTTTAAATTTTAGCAGATGTTAATACTTATAATCTCTTACAGATTCTTCATTAATATCAAGAAATCATTCTAATCAATGCTTTAATCAGTGTAGATTTGCAAGCCATGTCAAACCGGTGGGGAGAGGTTGCTATGCTAGAGGACAGGCTGGAGAAGTGGGCCAACGGGAACCTCGTGAAGGCGAAAGGCAAGTGCCACGCCTCGCCGCTAGGACAGGGTAAGGTTATGCTGCAGCGCGGTTGTGAGGGACGGGCTGGCGGGAGAGGAGCGGGGTCTGGTGGGCAAGTTGGAAGTGAGTCAGCAGGGTGCCCAGGCAACAAAGGCTGCAGCCACAGGCGGGTCAGAGCCAGCAGGTCGTTCCCCGCTATTCAACTCCTGCAAGACCACAGCCAGAATACTGGGTCAATTTGGGGGCTCCCCAGTTCAAGAAATATATTGTTATGAGGCAGTTAAACAGACAGCCACCAAGATATGGTGGAGTACAAAGCATGTGAGGGTTTGACAGAATTCTGTTAGTTCAGCCTTAAGAAAACACTATGGCTTGCTTTCTGGCTACAACTCCCCCGTGGCTGAACATGGGAAACAGACTCTTGTCAGAGGTGTCTTACACGAGGGCGTTAATAGACACAAGCTGGAACACAGGAAATTCCAGCTAGATGCAAGGAACACTCTTCTCAACTATGAGGGTGCTCAAGCGGCACAACAGGCTTTCCAGAAAGGCTGAGGAATCTCCAACCTTAGACATACTCAACCCTGGACAGTCCTGGGCAACCTGATCAAGTGGGGCCTACTGTGGGAGGCTGGACTAGACCTACAGGAGTCCCTTCCAACATAAATGACTCCATAATTAATAACCACTGTAGACCAGATTAATTTAATTTTGCTTTCTTGACTCATTCTAAATCCTCCAAAACACACAGATGGTAAAAAAGCATATTCCAGTTCGTCTTGTGACAAACTGGACCAAAAGTACAGGTATCTCCTTTCTGCATAGTCTGGCTTGCTTTTTCTTAATCCTGTATCATGTACATGTAGCATGTATCAGTTTAAAAAACAAAACAAAACAAAAAACCCACACAACACTTCCTCCATTACTGCAGAATAAAAGTTGTCAGAAATCACAGAATCATAGAATCATTGAGGTTGGAAAAGACCCTTAAGATCGAGTTCAACCGTTAACCTGTCACTGCCAAGTCCACCACTAAACCATGTCTTCAAGCACCACATCTACCTGTCTTTTAAATACCTCCAGGAATGGAGACTCAACCACTTCCCTGGGCAGCCTGTTCCAGTGCCTGACCACCCTTTTGGTAAAGAAGTTTTTCCTAATACCCAATCTAAATCTCGTCTCCCCCCAGCCTCCTCTTCCCCAGACTGAACAACCCCAGCTCCCTCAGCCGCTCCACACCAGACTTGTGCTCCAGACTCTTCACCAGCTTTGCTGCTTTTCTTTGGACACGCTCCAGCACCTCGATGTCCTTCTTGTAGTGAGGGGCCCAAAACTGAACACAGTACTCCAGGTGCGGCCTCACCAGTGCTGAGGACAGGGGGACGATCACTTCCCTGGTCCTGCTGGCCACACTATTTCTGATACAAGCCAGGATGCCATTGGCCCTCTTGGCCACCTGAGCACACTGCTGGCTCATGTTCAGCTGGCTGTCGACCAGCACCCCCAGGTCCTTTTCCACCAGGCAGCTCTCCAGCCACTCCTCCCCCAGCCTGTAGCGTTGCATGGGGTTGTTGTGACCCAAGTGCAGGACCCGGCACTGAGCCTTGTTCAACCTCACACAGTTGGCCTCGGCCCATCGATCCAGCCTGTCCAGGCCCCTCTGTAGGGCCTTTGCACCCTCCAGCAGATCAACACCCCCGCCCCACTTGGTGTCATCTGCAAACTTACTGAGGGTGATGCAAATCGAAACTTCAAAAGCCATGCCACAGTGGAATCCAATCCAAGTCTCATAGGCAGATACGCATTTTAGTGTACCATTAGACAAACTGGAGGTCAAATGAGAGAAAGCACAGCTCATCCTTTCTTCAGCTGTTGACTATGCAGGCAGCTCCAGAACTGCAATTACCCTTTGGCACTGCAGAATCTACTAAGTACTTCAAACTGACTACTGTATGCATAATCACCAAGAAAAAAGAAGTCCTTCACCACAAGTCAATTAAGTTGGGGAGGAGGGAAGTCATGGAAGATATTTTCTGAGTTCTGCTAAATATTAATAAATGCACCTTAGTGTTTTCTTCTATTTTTAGTGGATACAGAAGACCAAGATACCATGCAAGGAAATCCTGGCAGAAGGGATAAGCCTTCATTGTCCAACATTATGCATCCAGTTACATTTGTTTTCATTCTCAAATTTAATTAGCTAAAGAAAATTAAGGTAAATAAGTGAAACTCATTTTATTCTTTTAAAAAAGCTATAGTATAGTTTTCCCACATATTTGTGTAACAAAAGCAAACAAAAACAGTTGGAAAGTTTTTCTGCAAACACGCTTTTTGTGTACAAAAATACATCATACCCGAATGAGAACACAGAGTAAAGTCTTGAAAAAAAAAAAAAATCCAAAGTTCATCCACAGTATTACTGCAGTCAGACAGTACCAGGCTTTGTGTCTTTTACTTTTCCAAACAGAATTCAATCTTTTAAATAATTCAAAATATGCTCAAAGTTGAAGAATTTGTAGGTTTTTTCCGTTTAATATATATATGTACACACATACACAAGAATACATTTAAGTGGACATAGGGTTTAAAAAAAAGGCAGCCCCAAAGAAATGTCAGTATCTGTATTTAGTGGAATAATCTTTTGGCGATACCACCAAACCTCGACCTTTGCGGGCTCCTCTATAAACAGTTTCTATAATGTCAATCATCTCTTGCTTATCTTCCATTGCCCAGTTGATCTTGTTGTTATTACCTGTACCTAAATCAATCATGATGTGTTTGTTCCTTT